CATGTAATGTATACTTTAAAACAATAAAATATAATCATGAATAACACAAACGGCAATATTCCTGGATATGGGGGTACCTTTTTAATACTATAGANTGTAATGTATACTTTAAAACAATAAAATATAATCATGAATAACACAAACGGCAATATCCCTGGATATGGGGGTACCTTTTTAATACTATAAAAAGCACTGATATCCATTAAAAAGTGAGTGAGAGCTACTGACACAGAGCCACGGCTACGGCCAAGGCCAGAGCNAGAGCCACGGCTACGGCTAAGGCCAGAGCCACAGCTCCAGTAAGCTAGTTCTTTCCTGCAAACTACTCTTGCTATTACATTTTGATCACGGCCCCGTGCTGCCGTTTGAGTTATTTTATTTTGTTTACTTTATTTATGTTTAAAACTTATTTTGGTCTATAAAGACATTATTATTATAAATAAATAATATTGAGTAAAAATTGGCATTTCTGGTAAATACTTCATTTATCTTCTTGGACATTACAAAATACGAAGGTAAGTCAATTTATATTATTCCATTTATTTAAAGTTAATAATCTGAGTAAAGAACGATAAAGCAATAGATCTATAATCTCCTTTTAATATCAAGAGCTATTTTGCTAGTTTGTTCACACCTGCTACATATACACATTACAGGGTCTCGAGGGTCGAATTACCGCCCCGTGCCTAAAAAGAGTTTAAAAACCTAATGTGTATCTGATTATATTAATAGACACTTCGACTGGGTATTCGAGGGTCGGATTACCGCCCCGTTACCTCAGTGTCCTATTAAAGGTGTTTACAAGTTTATTAGCTCATATTCCTCAAGAAAGAGGAAATGCTTTTATNCGGATTACCGCCCCGTTACCTCAGTGTCCTATTAAAGGTGTTTACAAGTTTATTAGCTCATATTCCTCAAGAAAGAGGAAATACTTTTATTTNTAGCTCATATTCCTCAAGAAAGAGGAAATGCTTTTATCTTCATATCTACTTGTCTTTATTGTTCCAAACCCTCGAACCATACGACCCCGATAGAACCACAACATCAGGTTCACACTTTATACAAAAACCCAAGTCCCCATCTTATAATTTATATTTTACTTTTATTTTATTAATTTTTGTTATTTGAATTATAACACATTATAGAATTCCGAATTCTCTTGTCGAATTTATCTTTTTTAAATAGCTGCGACCTTGTAGTGTCGTATATATTAGTGCAACACCTATATAAATTTTTGCGTTTAAAACTTATGTATTTATCTTTCTGAAAATTCAAAAGTCTAAAAGACAATCATAAAAAAGGACGTTGGTCATTTTTGAACGTCACTGAACATTTTAAAATTAAAATACGAAGTAAGTCAATTGATATTAACCCAATTATTTAGAATTAAAAATCTAAGTATAGAATAATAAAGCAATAGATCCAATTTTTATATTAATTTTATTGTTACTATTTTGTGTAAAGTGTATAAATGACAATTTTTTTTCATACTTCATAATTTTATCGTATTTATAAAAACACCTTTTATGTATTTATTAAAATATTTTTATCTAACAGTTAGTTTTTTAATAAAATGGCCTAAGTTGGCTATATATAGTGTTATTTATAATATTTAACATGTTTAATGATTTATACATCATGTATGTCCTACATAAATTTTTTTTTAATTTACTCTTTAGTTAAAAAATTTATAATTAATTTTTATTTAAGGTAAATCGAAAACCCCCAATTCTTTCTCAGCCGTTCCTCAAATCATGTAAAATAAATGTTAATTTTTATGAGGAAAATTTAAAGTNTTTTTTTTTTTGTGTCTGTATACGCTCAATCTCAGCTCTCACTGAACCGATTTTGATGAAAAATATGTCAAAAGATCACAAATCGTATCTAGTTGAAGACATTACCCTCAAAAATTGAAAAAAAATCCCTCGTTCCTCGTAAACGGGGGAAATCCCACAAAAAATTACAAATTTAAAAATCGCTAGTTTTCGATATTTTTTCATTTGTTTATATTTAAAATTGCCATAACTTTTTTAAAAATGACTGAATCAATATAAATTTTTTTTTTATAGATACCTTAGATAATTACCTATCATTTTATAAATTTTTGTGAACATTTGACCCTTTAACAGCCCAAAGGATGGGGTTTCAAAATGGTAACTTTTTACAAAAAATTAACTTTTTCAACTTAACTTTTGAAAATGTTCCGGAAAGACTGACAATTTTATATATACCTTAAATTATTTAATGTTTTAAATATAAATATATTTATTTATTTTAGTTTTTAAACTTTATTTTATTAAATTATAATATATTAAATAAGCTAATTAATTATTTAATATTGACACGGCGTTGTCACCCGTTTGACACCCCGCGGTCGTGTCAGCTCCTTCTCAGCCATCGCTCCACTGTAAACCGGACCGTTACACACACGCGTTATCGTCGTGGTGTAAAGTCCAATAAATGCCTAACGTCGAATACCCNCATCGTGGTGTAAAGTCCAATAAATGCTTGGCGTCGAATACTCGCCGCAATAAGACTTGAAGTCAGTCATGTTCGTGACACTAATATCGTTGTTTCTTTTTACCGACCACAAAGACCGTGCAGTTCACCGCAGTTACGAACATTCTACACGTGCAGAGAAATATATATTTGTTTTTTTTTGTCTTCCGCCTGTGTCTGTACTTTATACTTGTGTAATAGAAATTTTCAATATACGGCTCGACGCCTTTTAAACCTGAGAATTACAAGTGGTGTATTACCTTTCTTTTTTTTTTTAATATCCCTTACGCGAGCGGGTGCAACATCCTCAACAATGTATAATGAACTAATTAAGAAAATTACTAGTTGATAACAATATTTTGACAAATAATTTGAAAGTTATTAACATTTNTTAAGAAAATTACTAGTTGATAACAATATTTTGACAAATAATTTGAAAGTTATTGACATTTTATAATGATAGATGCTGGTGAAACGTGGGTGTTTTATTTTTATACTAATATAATATACCAATAAGAAAAGGAAAAAAAAATAGAAAAGTAAAAAAAAGTGAGAGTTAAGGAAACCCGATCCAATCTAATAATAATTTTTCAACTAAAAATAATCAATTTCACCATAACAATAGATTTAATAATAGTGATCAGCTTAAGAACAATAACAAATTTCAAAATAATAATAAATTCAGAAATAATTATTCATCTAATAATAATCAATTTCAGAGATAATATATACCGTACAATAATAATTTTAATAATCGAACTAATCAATCACATTTCAATAATTTTAATAATAATTACTCAGTGTGTAAAAATATTGATTAACAATTTTCACAACCGAAAATTAATTTTCAACAAAATTATAGACCACGATGGGCTAAAAGAGATAATTACCAAGAAAATAATAAAAACTTCCAAAATAGTTTTAACATACAAAAATATACTACAAATAATTTAAAATGTAATTTTTGCAACAAAAATAACAATAGATCCGAAAATTGCTTTTTTAAGGATAATAAGGTAAAATGTCAACTGTGTGGCGTTGTAGGTCATACAGCTTTTAATTGTATTAAGAATTCAAAAAACTTGAATCAAGGTTAAACACTGTTGAAACAAATAGTTCACCTTTTAATTCAGCAGATAACATTAATTGCTTAACAAATAATAATATCACATCAGTTGCTTTACATTTTTTTGCTTTATTTAATGACATTAATAAACTCATAACTATTGACAAAGGTCAAACGTTAATTGCATCACACACACTTTAATACCTCAAAAATTGTAAAAGTGATCTAACAAGAGGAGGTCCAGATAACACTCCATTCACAGTTTTAAGTACATCTAATATCATTCTAAATATAAATTCTAATGAATACTCTAACAAAGTTCATGTTATAAATAATTTATCCTGTCTTATTATTCTCGGCAATGATTTTTTGAAGAAAAATAATAGTGTTATTGATTTTGATAAAAAATTTATGTCAATAAATTCAATTTCATTACCTATTTTTATAGACAACATTAGTTATGTAAAAATTAGTTATAAAAAAATATATACATATAATGTTATCTGATAAATCGTTATCCAGTTCTCTTCATACATAGTAATAGTCATTTAAAATAATAAGTTCAGATGTTTTTTGTTTTTCTAGAATTTTTGCTTTTGTAATTATAAGATATTATTATTTGGTTCTGTAAACAATAATTATAGAAGTGCTTTTCGATGTGGAAATCTATGATTTTTCTTTGTTTTTGTACTTCACATTTTTAGTTAGTATAGTTGTATGTTTCTTTTGAATTCATGAACGTCAAATTCAAATAAATTTTGCAAACACGAATAGTTTTCATATATTTGTTTTTCTTCATATGTACTGATATTGTATAAGCACTTTATTCCTTGATTTTTACTGATAATTTGAATTTCGAAGTCTTCATCTGGTGAAGCTGATTCGTCATTGCTGAACTAATTATTCTAACCACCACTACTAGTATACATTGCATTTTCTTAATTCACATTGTTCTTTTGTATTGAATAATGATTTGAAATAGCTTAAACTTGTTTTACAATTGTTATGTTTTTACAAAATTATTTTTTACGATCCAATTATAAAATTACAATTACTGATTGTATAAATAATACAATTTTGTGAAATATAAAATTACATATTAAGACATTGTTTATATGTAGACATGATGTAATTAAATATATGTAATATATTAATATTAAATATAATAAATGAATCTTCCATTAAATCATTTTAATCTTTAGTGAAAGTTGCTTTCATATGATTTGTATATTTATAATAATTTTTAAATTATGAATAATTTACGTATAAGTAATATAATGTGTCAGTTCGGCTTCAGCTATTGTAGCGATAAGTCGTGTTATTGTTACGCACCTGTGAATCCGGTTTTCCTTATACATATAGTTCTATCGTATTTAGTTGTATTTCTCTAACTCGCATAAGTAGTCTCGCATAATTTTTTGTTTTTAAGTTTCCGTATGCCCAATTCACCGGGTGGACCGGGCCGTCCACCTAATAACGGTTCTGGCCCCATAAAAGTAACTTTGCACAAAAATCGAAAAGACTCCGACGAATGGTCAACTGCCAGTGCGAAACGTAAGTCTAAAAAACTTCCTACCAGCCCGGTTTCTCCGAATCTACAATACCTATTAGATAATCAACCGCAACTACTCCCAGCTAACATACAATTTCAGTATAATATTAACGATTCGACCGATAACAATGAAACTAGTACGGCATATCTTAATGATGCCATTACGCTAACGTCAGATAGTAATTCTAATACTATGGATATCGATAATGTTATGAATAACAATAGCGACCTTGATATATACAACACAAATACGCCAAATAAGGTAAACAATGATTCTGAAACAGTACATTTGTCTACCGTTAAAAAAATTACTAGTAATTCGAATGTGGATTCTAATCTGAAATCTTTTTCAAATAATTTTAACGGGACTCCGGTAATTCTCGTTGAATCCACGGTTAGCGACCAAAGTATCGGCAAATTACACCCGCTAAAAATTGGGAAACTTTTCCACAACAAATTCGGCGGTATAAAACAAATAACTCCCATTGGATCCAGAGTTAAAGTTTTATTTGATTCTATCAAATCTGCCAATGCTTGCCTTAATTCTAACCTTCTCCCTGGTATGAACGTAAAAGCTTCAATCCCGTCTACTCTAATTTACTCTCACGGTATCATCCGCCTGGATACCTCAACAACAGAGGAGGAATTTTGGGAAGGTATCGAATCGCCGGTTCCTATTAGTGGTTTTCGTCACATATTTACAAAACGTAATTCTAATACCCCAACCCAAACTAATTTAGTAGAACTCAAGTTCCTTTCTTCAAAACTACCAGAAAAAATATCAATATTTAAAGTCATATTCACGGTTTCTCCTAGCATCCGTTCGCCTGTTATCTGTAATAAGTGTCTTCGCTACGGACACACAGCCAAATTTTGCAGAAGTAAGGCACGGTGTGCCTGTTGTGGTGCTAACGATCATATTGCCACCGATTGCCCTATTAAAGACAACTCTACCCCATCATGCTTACATTGCAAAGGATCCCATGAGGCTACAGATCGCTCATGTCCTGAATGGTCCCGTCAAAAGGAGATTAAAAAAATCATGGCTGTTGAAAACATTTCGTACAACGATGCCATTTTTATATTTAAGAATAACATTGTTAATAAATCTAAAACTTTTTCGAATAGTGTTTCAAACAATGCAAATATTATAAATAACGCCAGTGCTCCTCAAAACCCTATATCTATAGAATCTTTTCCGAGCTTGACACAATCATTCTCCAAAAAAAGTAGAAATACGTATCATGGTAATAAAAACGGTGACCAAACTATCAACCCGCATTTTGTCTCTAATAAAAGTAATGATTGGTCTTCTCCCAACGGTTCGTTTCTTGAATACATGTCCACTAACTCCTATGCCCAACCTGCTGAGAAATCCTGGATCTTTGGCTAATCAACTCTCTTCAGCTATATACAATATTCCTTCCTCTACATTATCATCCCCCTCAACCCTAAATCAATTAATTGAGTCTCACATCCTTAACTTTCTCTCTTTATCATCTAATAACAGTTTGCAGTAACTTCCTCATCTCACCACATTTTATCATCATTATTGTTTTTTTTTTTTTTTACTTATTTATTTATTTATTA